GACTCTCTTTTATAACATTAAAGGATACAGGCTCTTGTGAACACATGACATGGGTTGCCCAACTGCTTCAGTTCAGCATTATATAGCTAAGTCCAGTATGACGGATTGAACTGTACCATTATAATTAACTGATGGAAATGCTGGTATTATTTACTGATGTGACCTCGCTGTAGAAATATAGGAGATCCTATTTTATATTGAAAAGTTTGTCTTTTCTCTTCTGTTTTGCAGCTGTGAGTCCTTACATTATTGGAAAGAAAAAACACTTACTTTGATATTGTTAGAAAACACTCTCTGTCTTGAGAATGTTCCAAATATGCCTCACCCCTCCTTTCTTTCCCTCTCCCTTTCACTCTCCCTCCTCTATCTGTTCTCTCTCTCTTGTATGGTGTTTTAATGTCTCTTACTCACATTCGAGCTATGCATGCGCAAATGTATACATTAGCTTTTCTTATTCAAATGTCTAAATAAGGACATGATAGCTAGGAATGAGGTTTGTGATGAAACCATGAAGATAGTTTAGCCTCCTTCGCAAAAGTCTATTCCTAATATGTCCATGTTTTTCTGTTCATATGGCCATTTTATATAAACACATGTTCTTGGCCAAAGATCCTATATGTATGTCATCTATATCCTCATTGGTTAAAGGGTTGAAACTCCCCTCGACATATGCCTATATAATATCTTTGTATCTATGAATAAAGTTGAAGTATTGAGAATACCATTGAATGTGTGTTTTCTTCCTTCCCGGCCGTATACACTTTAAGGAACTGAGAACTTCAAGGCGGCAAAGAGATATCGAGGGACCAATTGTTAATTTCTAACAGATATATTCATAAATAAACTTTACACAAGAATGTGCAGTTGAACTGGTCATTCTTGTATCAGTAATGTACTTGAGGTAATACTAGTTCTACAACTAAGTTGAAGCATTGTGCATCACCAGCATTGAAAAGGTCTCTTCTATGTGCTGTAACACAGATCTTTTAAGATGCTCAGAGTATTGTACTTTACTACCATAGAATAGTTTACAGTCAAAACATTTAAAGGTGCGGTTACATTTTTTCACAGACAAAAGGTCTACTGTTAATAGTGTACAGTACACTCTTAAAAATAAAGTTTCCAAGTTTTTGCAGCGAGAACTCTCAATGAATAGTTCTTATAAGGACTGTTGTTCTTAGTGTAAATAACATTTTTAACAAAACCTAAAGAAACTTTTAGGCGGGGCATAGAGGACCTACAATAATGTACAGTATTTGAAAAATAATGTGTTTTTTGAACATTAAAGCATGTCAACATATTCTGTTACACCAAATACACAAAATAATCATCATATGACCCCTTTAAAGAACCTTTTGTGCAGTTCCATAGATGTTAATGGTTCTTCATGGAACCACTGATGCCAATAAAGAACCTTTATTATTAAGATTGTAGCAATGTAATCTATGAAACTCACACAGAAGTTACGTTCAATCAGCTTTCTGTTGGTCAAGACAGCAAATCCAACTTGAACCCATTTCGAAATCTGATTGTGGAAAAAACTTTCCCCTCACACAAAATTCTAGATCAAGTGTATTCTTATCGAAATGACTAGATTTTGCATGCAAACAGCAATAAAAGTGACTGCAACTTATTATGACGTCAGCAGAAAAGGAAAGTTGTTTTGCAGGCAAAGAGTGTTAATGACAGATTATGAAGACAAAATATTTTACAATGAGCACCTATTAAGTGTGCAAAAAGTAACTCATCCCACACCGTAACTCATAGACCCATGAATGAGGTGCAAAATCGACTGGCTCATTGAGGAGAGGTGTGTTCTATATTTTCTAAGCGATCGGACCTACGATGTTCACACAGCAGACGAAAAAGCAGGCTATAGACTTACATTGACGGAATGTTCATGAATTTGAATCTCAAATTTCACTTTCTCTCTCTCTCTCTCTCTCACACACACACACACACACACACACACTCATTTGACGTATTATTATTATTATTATTTATGCATTTGGCAGACGCTTTTATCCAAAGCATGGATAAAATATTCACGCTATACATTTTCAAGTACCAATAAGTAATAACCTATAATCTTCATAGCCACACCCTAGCAATCACCCCATAGACTACCATTTAAACAGATCAAAAGGCATATCTTTGTATAGAAGTGTCATAGAAACATGGGGGTTTTGCTCTTTTGATGCATGCTAGTGTAGCAGGTACAGAACTTCTGCATCAACTGACAGTTAAGTGTTCCCAGAAATCTTCAGTCACCACTATCACAGGGCCTGTGAAATGGTGGAATAAAGACAGGACAAAAACGTGCGTGTGATCAGCTCTCGTCTCGCTGGGTTATGACCAGCAGCCAAGCAGACGCATCGCAACACACTGCACTCTCATAGCGCCCTCTGTTGGTCTAGCGGAACCACCATTCCTTTAATACATTTACACATGTAAAACCAATATTAGTTTCATCAATTGTGACGAACCAACAATTGGGGCATCACACTAGCAAACAGGTCTTCTATCATGCATGCTACACATGCTAGCAGTGAATAGCTGCATGCTAACAGCGATTTGCTAAATCAGGCTAAGAACATGCTAAGAACTCTATAAAACTCCACAGTAACAATCTGTGACAACTACCAACCGCCTAGCAACACATTAGTAACACCCAGAACACCCTAGCAACCGCCTAGCAACACCATAGCAACCACCCAGAACACCCTAGCAACCACCTTGCATCACCCTAGCAACTGCCTAGCAGCTCCCTAGCAACCACTTAGAACACCCTAGCAACCGCCTAGAAACACCCTAGCAACCGAGGGCTGAGTTTTGCCACTGCAAGCATCACTCTCTTGTTACATTTTTATTAATTTCTTTCCATGATTTAACATAACATTATCTAAACAAAATAATATATTGTCATAGTGCATTCAGGAGTAGCTACACTTCAACCATATTTAAAAGACAAAATAATTATGAAATTATATACTGTACATATAAACATGTACTTAAGTCCTACTAACGAACTGCATTTAATATAAATTTAGCAATTATACAGTTTCATTAGTTGCAATCAACATGTAATTTAGCATCCAAAAACATTATATTCAGTTCACATTTAATATTCTTTTAAAGTATATTTCAGTACTCTTTTTAAAAGTGAACTGTTTTTCAGAAGGGTGGTGTTAGTTTATACACTCATTTTAGTGAAGTGCTCAAGAATTTGATCAGTTTGATAGCAAGCTTACTCCTAAGTGACAGTCTGATTTGTATTTTGGTCTTGTGTTGAGTAAAAAGTTTAATTAAAAGTTTAAATGCCAGTTCATGGTTTGAAAAAATACCCAGTGTTTGTTAGGTCATACTGTTTTAAATTCCTATACTCATTTGTATAATTTCATTTGTTTGGTTACAGTTGCACAATTAAAAAAACAGTCTCTTTGAGTGAAATTGAAAGTATTCTTGGCCTGGTTTCTCAATAATGATCCATTTTAACGTCAGTCATGCCTTAAGCATTCTTACTGTATGTAGAGCTAGTTTAAGAGTCAATATTGAGCAAAAACATTTAAATGAACCTTGCACTCGTGAAAAAAACTAAATGAAACAAGTTTGACCTGTATGAACAACATACAAAGGGGTTCACCCTTTGTCTTTCAATGTATGGAATGCAGAAGAAAGTAAGTCTCACAGGTTTGGAAAGACATGAGGGTGAGAAATGAAAGAATATGCCAGAATGTTCATTTTTGGGTGAACTATCACTTTAAGTACACCCTATACATTTGTTATAAAGATTAATTTATTCATCTTCATATGGTCATTAATTGGCAAGTAAATGTATATCTACCTGTTTAATATTTTGGTCTTTTAGTTAAACTTTCATTTTGTTGTCAAGACCCACCCCTTCTGATAATCTATAAAATAAGCGCTGAATCAGGCACTTTATGTCATTCACCTCCTGATCAAAGATGGATCTACAAATCTCAGTTTTTCTATATTTAAAAGACAAAATAATTATGAAATTATATACTGTACATATAAACATGTACTTAAGTCCTACTAACGAACTGCATTTAATATAAATTTAGCAATTATACAGTTTCATTAGTTGCAATCAACATGTAATTTAGCATCCAAAAACATTATATTCAGTTCACATTTAATATTCTTTTAAAGTATATTTCAGTACTCTTTTTAAAAGTGAACTGTTTTTCAGAAGGGTGGTGTTAGTTTATACACTCATTTTAGTGAAGTGCTCAAGAATTTGATCAGTTTGATAGCAAGCTTACTCCTAAGTGACAGTCTGATTTGTATTTTGGTCTTGTGTTGAGTAAAAAGTTTAATTAAAAGTTTAAATGCCAGTTCATGGTTTGAAAAAATACCCAGTGTTTGTTAGGTCATACTGTTTTAAATTCCTATACTCATTTGTATAATTTCATTTGTTTGGTTACAGTTGCACAATTAAAAAAACAGTCTCTTTGAGTGAAATTGAAAGTATTCTTGGCCTGGTTTCTCAATAATGATCCATTTTAACGTCAGTCATGCCTTAAGCATTCTTACTGTATGTAGAGCTAGTTTAAGAGTCAATATTGAGCAAAAACATTTAAATGAACCTTGCACTCGTGAAAAAAACTAAATGAAACAAGTTTGACCTGTATGAACAACATACAAAGGGGTTCACCCTTTGTCTTTCAATGTATGGAATGCAGAAGAAAGTAAGTCTCACAGGTTTGGAAAGACATGAGGGTGAGAAATGAAAGAATATGCCAGAATGTTCATTTTTGGGTGAACTATCACTTTAAGTACACCCTATACATTTGTTATAAAGATTAATTTATTCATCTTCATATGGTCATTAATTGGCAAGTAAATGTATATCTACCTGTTTAATATTTTGGTCTTTTAGTTAAACTTTCATTTTGTTGTCAAGACCCACCCCTTCTGATAATCTATAAAATAAGCGCTGAATCAGGCACTTTATGTCATTCACCTCCTGATCAAAGATGGATCTACAAATCTCAGTTTTTCTTCTGTTCGTTCTTTTCACTGCAGGTACAAAGACAAATAGTGTTTGGAACATTATTGAGTACAAATACAGATCATTAGATGTCTCTCTCTCACTTTCTCTCTCTTTTTACTAAAAAAAAGTCTCTCTCGTATTACTAAAGGACACTCTCTCAGCTGTTATCAGTGCACAAGTCTGTCGAGCTCTTGTGCACAGACAACATGCTCCGGTGGAGTTACCAGCTGCATCAGTGCAACATTATATTTTGGTAAGTATGAAATTTACTGCTTTACTGCTATGGACTGAAATTTACTGCTATAACTTACTGATGGAGATGCTGCTATAATTTACTGGTGCTGCGGCAGTGTTATTATTGTCACAGAACCGATACTCTTTTTTTTCTGGGTAGAATTTACAACTGCATGCATAGAATGTTCTATATATAGATTTTTGTTTGACTTATTGTAAAGCATTTTTACAAGTGGTCTTACACCTTTGGACATCATTGTATAAAATATTAGAGATCATTTAATGTTGCAAAGTTTGTATTTTCATTACATTATTGGAAAGACAAACTCTTTCTACTTGAAAATATTTATAAATACATTTTCCATCAAAATAATGTTCAGTTGAACTGCTCATTCCTGTATCACTCATGTGTTTTTAGGCAACGGTACTATAATAACAGCTAAAGGTTGTGCTTTACCAATTGGCTGTCCAAGCGGATCCATCAACCTTGGCATTGGAAAGATTGCTTCTACCTGCTGTAACTCGGATCTCTGTAACTCCCTAGACGCTCCAGGTATTGAACCTTACTGACATGCAGTCATTGAACAAAAATAATGGAACTTTTTCTATCAGGGATTGTATGTCATCTGAAATAGAAATTTGTAAAGGAAGCTATTTTTTCCTCCTGTAGATCCCTCTATTGTCCCCAATGGAAATAAATGTTACTATTGTGATGGACGGAGTTGCTCAAGCACAGTGAGCTGCTCAGGGAGTGAAGACCGCTGCTTTAAAGCAACAGGTGAGAATCTGGAAAAGGAAGAAGATTAAAATTGATATTTTTATCTCCTTTATGTTTGAGCATTTGATACAGATCATATACCAATGTCCTGCTTTGACTGATTCAACCTTCTCCTCTTTTCATCAGGGAAGTTCGAAAACCAGCCATTATCTGTAAAAGGCTGTGTCTCTAAGTCCATTTGTGATATTGTCTCAATATTTGATACATTTGTTGGTGGTGTGTCATGTTGTTCGGGGAACCTGTGTAACGGTGCTAAGAGTGTCACTCAGAGCTTCCTGTTCCTCTGCTGTTCTCTGCTCTCCTTCATCCTGCTGCACTGAATCCAGCAGCTCTTCACATTCTGCAGCAGCAGCAAAGATACAATATGATGCGCTTTACAAACATATAGTTGTATTATCTCTGTACTGTCTTTGATTTGGTGTGATGAATTTTAAAAGATATACTAACGGTAATTGAAATATATTTATGGTCTACGCAAATCAAATCTCTGTAACACCTTTACAGCTTTATGTATTTTGCTATATTGGTGAAGTGTTTAATGTGTATTTATGCTCTTGTGGTGAAAGAGGGTAAAGGTGATAAATCTGTAACTCAATGTTACATGAGGGTCTTCTGGTGCACAATGTCTTAACCATACAACTCAGACTTTCTCATTGTGCTTAACACCCATATTTTTTGTATGCTTAAAGGGGTCCTATTATGCTCTTTTACAATGTCTTGATTTTGTTTTGTGGGTGTACTAGAACATGCTCTCATGCTTGGTGGTTCGAAAAACGCATTATTTTTTACATAATTTACATTATTACAATACCTTTCTCCCCATTGTTGTTGTTGTTTTTTTGGCTAAATCACGTTTTAGATAGGATGTCAACAACCGCTTAAAAATAACTGCATTTACTGCATTTACTAAGTGCATATGTATTATTTTTATTGTTATTTAATTCTGACATTATAACATGAATTCCAGTGAAACTGTTATACAGTTGAATTTATTTATACCATAGTCCAGTGTTTCCCAGGCGGCATATGTATGCAAACTCATTCTCTGCAGCAGGAGGCGCTGTTGGAGTGGTAGAGATCCAGGTTTCAACCATTCGAATTTCCGTAGGCGGGAATTATTTTAATGATATTCTAATGGGCCGCTTTGTGATATCACAAAACCGGAAAACAAACGCTGTAGTCCAAATGAGCCGTTCGTTGTAGTTCTTGAAAAGGGATTTTTTTTAAACGAAATAGCCTATCTCCCTTTGGAGTGGACTTTGAGATTTGTAAGTTTGAAGATCTTTTTTATGCCCAAACATACACACTGACTAAAATTCAAAAAGTGAAAAAGCATAATAGGACTCCTTTAAAATAAAACTACTTATTTAATTGAATTAACATATACCTCATTCCTCCTACATTGGCAAATAAAAATCTAACAGGACACAATGAATCACTAATTTTTGTAATTCATTTTGAAATGAATCAGTTGTTTCGCCTGTTGTGATGTTGTAACAGTCATGCTAATATTTATCAGCAGATGGCAGCAGATGATCTTTCGTATCAAAATAACACTTTTGCATTTGCTTCCATCAAACGCCTGAAGACTAAAGCTCAATGTAATTATTTTAGAATTGTGATGTATTGATATGTCATTGTATTTGTTTGCAAAAAGAGAATGTTATTGTGAGAATGTTATTAATATACTATTAATTGCATAATTTCTTGCTTTGGTTTAACATATCTAAACAAAATAATAAATTGCCATAGTACATTCAGCAGTATAGCTACACTTTAACCATATGTAAAAGAAAACAGAATTATGAAATTACATAAGAACGTGGACATACGTCTTATAAGTGGTTCAAATTGCACAAACTGCATCTGATATGAATTTAAACTATTCCACATTTTAGATTTGTTTCAATCAACATGCAATTGTTTGAAAACACACTGATGTACATTCTTTTAAAGTGTATTATTTTCGTAGTAAGTGACAGTCTTGTGTTAGACTTCATTTGAGTTTACATTTGGATTAAAACTTTAAATGACAGTCCATGATTTGAAAAAACACCCAGTGTTTGTTAGGTTACACTGTTGTAAATTCCTGTACTCCAATATATACTGATTTAATGTGTTTGGTTACAGCTGCACAATTACAAACAGTCACTTTGAATTAAAGAGAACGAAAGTATTCTTGGCCTGGTTTCTCAATAATGTTCCATCTCAAGGTCGGTCATACGTTAAGCATTTTTATTGTATGTAAAGATTAAGTTTAACAATTTAACAAACTAAAGGCACAATATGTAATTTTCGCCACTAGAGGGCGCGTATTCAAAATAAACAAATAGACAAAGGCGTAGTTTGATGACGTCGTGACTGAGTGTGGAATCATGGGAGTTGTCGTCTTCATCCCCACAGCCGATGCAATCCGACGGGACTCCGGCAGAAATCATGTTCATGGATGAGCTAATGATTTATTAACGTAGTAGAATGAAGCAGGGTGAGGCTGAAAGCCGTCGAAGCGAAACGAGGCCGCTGAACGAGCGCGACACACGGCTCGAAAGCAGCGGAGCTTTTATTATGCCACAGTCGACCGCTTCCGCTCCTTCTGGTCGTGCGTATGTGGGGTAAAGCAGCGCTGTTTTACCATACTGTTATAATGCTACTCTGTGCGGTCGTCACCAGTCTAATAAAACGCACATATTAAAGCATCTTTGGAGTTTCCATGTTTTATACAAAACAAAAAATCGACATATTAAAGCGTCTTTGGTTTTTCCATGTTTTCTACAAAACAAAACTGGAAATCGAGGGGTTATGACGTCATTGGCAGGCGACACAATGACTGGATGGACACGCTCCGTGTCACTAGTTAAAATTGTTTATTTCTCTGGATTTAAACATTCTTCGAAACATTTGGGATAATGTAAGTACACAAGTCAGCAAAATATATAACACTGTTCTAGTGGTTTTTGGATATTTTAATAAATAAATCTTACATATTGTGCCTTTAAGCAAACACACAATTAAATCAACCTCTTACTCATGAAAACAAATCTAAAAACAAAATGAGTTTGACCTGTACGAACAACATTGGACCACTTTGTCTTTCAATTTATGGAATGCTGAAAAAAAGTAAGTCACAGGTTTGGAATGAAGTAAGGGTGAGAAAATTACTAGGTAAATTTTTCAACCTATACATTTCTTAGTAAGAGGAAGATTATTTTCCTCATTAGAACCCCCATATGGTCATTAATTGGCAATAAATGTAAATCTACCTATTTTATTTATCTTTTTTCTTCTTGTTAATGTAAGACCTGAAATGATCTCCGCATGAAACCAAACTTCAGGAACTCCACGAAACAGATGCCATGCAACGAAACAATACAACTAACCTGAAGAAAATATCTCAAAAAAGAGCAAATGAAGTTACACGTGTGTAACCGTGGCAGCATGGCACTTTCACTTCCACGCAAATAAGTTGCTCGACAGTGCGTACAAGCAGCGTTGCCGTTGGACACGCATCTCCATCGACACCCACACACAATTAACACGAATGCCCAACAAACAAACACACATTTACACTCACATAAAGTTTTGTTGTTGATGGGTTTTTTTGGGAACTTAATTTTAATTTTATTTTTTTAACTCATGATTTGATTGCTGTGATTGAAACTGAGAGTAGAAAAACACTCTCTCCCCAGTCTGGCATGAACGGCTCGAATGTTGTGATTGGCAGCACTCGGTGCCTGGTCGGGAAATGTCATGCCCCTTACCATAGCCGCCTGCAAGCTTCAGTATAAATATTGTGTCAAAATCAAATAATTTTTGTATTTAATTACATGATTGTAACCACTCTAAGTTCGTCTGCCTTGGGGAAAGCTAGCGTGTCTCCGACACAGTGATAACACTCGTTGCCTTCTCTAGTGCAGCTCAACCAGGTCTCGTCCCATTCGTCGATCTTTGTGATATCACAAATCCTGGAAAATATGCGTTGTAGTCCAAACGAGCCGTTCGTTGTAGTTTTTGAAAAGTGATTTCTGTTAAATTAAATATCTCCTTTTGAATTGGACTTTGTAACTTTGCCGATCTTTTTTATGCTCAAACAACAACATTACAGACTAAATAAAGCTGAAAAAGTGAAAAAGCATAATAGGACCCCTTTAAATGCGTTTCCACAGCTACTTTTTGAATGGCTTGTTTCTTTACTGATCGATCTATTTGCATTGCTTTGTGTTTTCATTTTTTATATGTAGCTGGTAGTTATCCTGGGTTAGGGAGTGTTAATTTGAATTCTAGTAATTCTATTTGGAAGATTAATTCTACCTGCCGCCCGAACTGGTAACCTTGTTTTATAGTTAAAATTCCTATCATTAGGGTGAACCACCGTTACACTATGTTGAATTAGTTTGTCTCCTATGGAACACTTATATTTCCCATATAGCTAACAGTAATACAGGAGCATAGAATTGCCATGTGGCTGCAATGTGATTCACATTTGCATTATCTCTTCTGAATTGGCTTTTAATTGTTTAATTATGTAATTGGCATGATACATTTTTACCTAACAAATAAAATGTTGCATTTGATTTATTTTGAATTGTCCTGAAATCATTATGACTAGTAGATCATGTGGAGGCTGATGTTACCTCAAATCTGTACAGGATAGAACATACAAAGGCTCATGACTGAGCGGAGCAGTAGGCACGCCATCTGAGATCTTTTTGCTTTGCTTTATCACGACTTAGAAAGATGTATTGAAGTGATGTAACAAACTACACTTTATGTTCTCAGCAAGCAGTAGGCGGCGGACTAAAAGGAATAGGTTAACCTTGCACCCTCTGACTAAGCTCAGACTGGTGAGTTTGCAATCATGAGATCCATGCAGGCCACGCGAGACTCAAATGCAACATTGGGTCCCTGATGAACGAATAATCGAAAGTATGGGATTTCCAGAATAATCAAATATCTAAATTAATACATAATCGATATTTGTGATCAGTTTTTAATTAGCAACAAAATGAAAATTGAAACTAAATCCTGATAAATTAAGTGAACTTTGCAGAAAAGACCTACATGCATTATACCTTCACCCACGCTGGTGGATTCCATCGTTGGGCCAGTTGGGTGGACTTTACATTAAACATTTATTTTCTCAATAAGATCCACTCCTTCTGATAAGCTATAAAATGAGAGCTGAATCAGGCACGTTATCTCATTCACCTCCTGATCAAAGATGGATCTACAAATCTCAGTTCTTCTTCTGTTCATTCTTTTCACTGCAGGTACAAAGACAAATAGTGTTTGTAATGTTACAGATGTTTCTCTCACACCACCTCTCTTTTGTTTATTTACTAAAGGATACTCTCTCAGCTGTTATCAGTGCACAAGTCACATGTCCAGCTGGATTTACCAACTGCTTCAGTGCAACAGTAAGGACTGAAATAATTGACTGATGGAGATGCTGCTATAATTTATTGGTGCTG